ATCTCCGTTCCAACGACAACGTCGGAAAAACGAAGGATCGAGCTTTCGGTGCCTTGGATGTGTCGGACTTGGGATCTATAGTAGTGAGCCATAGTGAACCAAATAAGTGAACAAATCTGACTGGAAACGCTGTTTTTCTCCAACAAGCAGTCCTAGCTTCTGCAAGCCAAAAGCTTGCCACCTCTTCGCTGCACAGCCATGCCCGCACAAACCAACTCCGCAATCCTCGAAATAAGGTGCCAAATGTGGTTGTGGGTCAAAACATCCAGGGTGCTCCAAAACATCAAACATCTATCATCTAACAGACTTCTAGTAGGACCTCAACCCCCCAAAAGCTGACGAGTCCTCCCTGTGTTTGTGGGGTTTCATGGTTCGGAGATGTTCGGAGGCTTCATGATTCTTATGGCGCCATATAGGGGTATGACTCCAACGGACCCTGATTTCATGAAATGCGAACATCCCTTACCATAATAGGGGTATCCCTCAAGAACAAGACCTTCACTTGTGGACCGGAGTGCAACGATGTAACCCAGACCTTCAGGGATTCAGGTGCAAGGACAACTGGACGATTCAAGCATTACATCAACAAAGAGTCCCTGTGGTTGAAAGGGCGCCATGATATGGACGCTATCCCAGCTCACATCTTCTTCGGACCCAAACGCGACCCTGGACCCTCGGAGGGGTCGGACCCAAATCCTTTGGAGAGGTCTGAGAGGTCTGGGACTCTGTGCAATCCCCAGGTTTTGAAGGGACCTGCCGGGCTTTGAACGGAGCGTCTCGGTATATAATATCACCTGATCCTCAGCCTCTTCAGGATTTTCTCGGTGTCAATGACGGACGCCCGAAGTGAATCTTCGCATATCTTCGCCAATCCCATTGGTTTGCAGGAACAGTGCAACATATTCCAACAACAACCCTGTGCTGTGCTATATTTTACTTGCTGCGAAACTATGCAAAACGCAATCAACCACCGTTTTTACATGCCGCCGTGGCGGAGATTCTCCCACACGACGTACATGGCGGATTCACGGACATTTCACCCACATCCATGTCGCGACATGGCCACAATTGGCCGGCACTTCGGCCGCTTCTTCAGGCCACGCAACGCACGGAGCTTCCGACTCCTCCTCCTCCTCCTCCTCCCCTCCCGCGGTGGAACCGCGCGTGTCGGGGCGCAAGGGTGAGGACGTGGGCACCGGTTCTCGCGACGTGGGAGCAGTGAATGAGTAAATTCATGAAGTCATGGGCCATGGCGATGAAGAGGTTGGGGGAAGTTGGGGCGGAGTGATTCATTGATCCTATTCATTCCTATTCTACCAATGACCAATGACAATCAAGTTGAGCAATGACTGAGCAACTAATTCCTGATCAGCTCAGATGAGTTCAACCCGGGACCCCTGCACTCAATGCACTGGAATGTTCACAAAAATGGGTGGAAACAAGAGTCATACTAGGCCGGTGCCTCAACGCCAGAGTCTGGGACACCTATATGTTTCGTTATTACTGTAGTCGTCTTATCAAGGTGGTTGTGGTGTACTAATTGCAAGTCAAATACGGCTGCGTGTAAGAGGGAGAGGCCCCAATTCTGGTCCATATTCCATATTGCATTCCCTTGGAGTCTTTGGGTCTCTATTAAGCCCCCTATTCCAATTGGGTCTCCCTATTCCAATATATCCATTGGGTCTATCCTATCAGCAGTAGCAGTGGATAATGATGGTTTGGTTGCAGGCCTTGTTCAAAACAACGGATCAAACATAGTGATATGCGTTTACTTACTGTTACAGGTAAGTTCGGACAAACCCAACATAATATCCACATTCTATCTATGGCTATGGAGTCGTTTGGGACATTTATCTTTACACGCAGCCGCCGTTGAAGGGGTCAAAGCACACACACGATAGGGGCTGAGCTCGGATAGCTTGGATCAGGATCTGTATGGATTGAAAGACATTGGGTGTGTAGCTCCATGATGGGCTCGACCGATACCGGGAGGCATCCCGACCGACACCGGGAGTAGACGTTGGCGACCGACACTGGTGGAACCCACCACGAAGACAGTCCGAAAGCATGCCATCCCGGTGGCGACCAAACTGACGACAACGAAGGGGATCTTAACATGTACCAACCCAAAGATGGAGCACGGTCCACGCCACATATGTCCCCACGTCCGCAGTTGGCAGTGACCCTGATCAGATCCCTTTGAGACCGAAGAGGGCTCTAAGATCAAGAATCCCCAGGGAATCCAGGTTTACGAATTCCAGAACTCTTAGCGACCCTCTCATGCCCAAATCTTCTCAAACATGGCTGACCTACATTGACCACTGGATCCCCTGGGGTAGCTAAGCCTGAAGACTCGTCCAGGAAGATGCAGGAGCCCCCAAATGTCAAACAATGAGGCCCTCCACAGATGTTCCACCTCCTCAATTGAGGCGAAGATTATGTTACTTGAGGGGTCCGAAAAAAATGTTTTGAGCTTCCTCAACTCTTATGTTCTCACGGACCTTGGACTTCAACTTTCTTCAGGGGAAGCTGCTCTTCCCGAACATTTCCGACCCCGGCCCTACCGCCTTCGGCGATCTTCGATGACCGGCGGTGACCGGCGGAGGCTCGCCCCTCCTCCGGGAACCGGGCGAGAACAGGTCGGTTCGGAGGTCTCCACTGCCGAAGTCCTGTGGCTGGTCAATCTGATGTTGCCTGAGGCAATGCCTGGGTGGTCTACCTCCATCACCGATGTCCAAAGCCTTAACCAAAGCTCGAAGCGGCCCGACCTCTGAGAGAGGTGCGAGACATTCACAGAGTGACTTGAGATTTTAGTTGGAAACCAGTATTTTGCAGTGTGTCAAACACACCACCCCTCCGCTGGATTCACAGTAGACACCAGTTTCCTCCCTCATGCGCCTCATGACCCCCAGTTTCAGCCCACGAATGGACCCCAAGTGAATCCATGCTTTTCCTTACTGGTCCTTGCTTGGGGGGGCAAGGCAATTCAGGCATCACTTGTAGTGAGTTGGCCGACCTTGGCACTCGGCTTGCCTTTGTTCAGCAGTAGAGCTAGGCCTTGCACATTGGCTTGATCAAAAAAAAGAAGGCCTGGCTCCAAATCAAGGAACTTACCAAATACGTGCATTTATCATCATTTATCATGATGTATCCCTGATCCCAGGCTAGATTTGAGAAATTCTTGGATCGTGTTGTTTTCATATGATTGGGAGACCTCTCAAATCAGTAGGATTCTTTTGCACCTGCAATTACTGTGAAGCCTCTCGGCCTATGACTTGGTCTTTATTGTATTATTCTATTATGTTGTGTATCAAATTACGCATGACCGATCATATAACCCCCACTTTGGCCCAGTGGGGTTCGATGAGCCCAACAACGCTTCTCTGTGGGTCTAGACCTGTCCCAGTTCTTCCTTCGGAGCCAAACCCCTTTTTCAAGCCACCAATTCACGTGCTTCGGCGGAAGAGGGATCAGTCCCGCCCAAGATCGTTCAGACCTTCGACGCGAGCTGCAGGCAGACCTGAAAATGCACTCGTCTTGCCGCGTCCGCTGCCACTGCCTCTTCCCTCTGGTCTGGTCCCTCCCTGGCTTGGTTCCCCAGTTCGTTCTAACCAGCGGAAGCGGTGACAAGACCCGATGATCTTCGCCTTGGACATCGAATACTCTCGGTTGCCTTGAAAAAACTGAGGATGTGGCAAGGTCTGACCGGTGCAGGGAAGAAATCGTTACACGATTTGGCAAGGACAATTCATGAAAAGGAATGAAGAAGACCTTCTGAGTTCTATCGTGTTCTATCTATCCTAATGGACCAAGGGTCATGGCAGTCATAGGATGTTTGTATGAAATATGATGTTGCAAAGTCTGGGCATGGATTGGACCCTGCAGCAAAAGGGAAACAACTTACTGTAAACAGCATTTGTATCCATTTGTACTGCTGGCCTTGAACAATGCGACAATCGAATCTGACTATTGGCTCCGATCCCAACCACAAGGGTTGGATGGCACCCTGTTGTGGTTTCAAGCTATTTGGGACAGTTCTAATGCATATATTGTGCTCTAACGATTCCAGATCCTCAGGAAAACGAAGCAAAACACCATCCACAAACAACCATCCATCACCTGCGCCCCGGCGGCGCACGGAGTCCGCACCTTGCGGCACCTTCGGCACCGCGCCTTCGGATCCGAGGTGCCCAACGACCCCGGTCTCCGGGTCTTGCGTCTGGGGCGTGAGATCCAGGACTCTTCCAGGAACAAGTGCATCGCTACGTTCGAAACAAGTGCCTTACTAGTAGTAACAAGAAGCTACTAGGAACAAGTGCCACGCTACTAGGAACAAGTGCCTTACTAGTAGTAACAATGTTTGCTACTAGGGCTACTCATCCCAATGAAAAAGCTTCAGCCAGCATCCGACAAGTCCCGACTGTGAAGAAGCCAATGAAGAAGCCTCTCCTCCCGTGAAACCTTGAAGATGAATGGAATAAGCAACATGCATGGAGTTGTTCAACAATCAGCATGGGGTGGTAATTTAGAACCCTACACCGGTTACATGCAGTACAACATCTGGGCAGAGAGGGTCGACCCAAAAATGTTGGATACCAAAAATATATACATATAGTTATATAATATATACCTATTAGGTTCTTTTGCATCAGTTACCGGGTTGGATTCTTTTGCATCTTCATGGATTCCAGTTTCCACCATCCAGAATCACCCAGTACAAACCACTACAATTATGTAATATATATATACTACAGTCATCTACAGTCTACATACACAATTACATTAATATATACAATAAACTTACACTGTGGTGGTAAAACATGTTCACAGTCCTTCACAGTCCTCGTCTGACCACCAAGCTTCCACCCCGCAGCCAGCTTTCGCATCGATTTCACCTCCAAACGTTTCGCAACGCCCCCATGTCTCTGGAGATCGAAGGAGACGCCGTGGCGTTTTTTCCGTGTGGCGTGCGCCGGACTCGCCCTCGCGCAGTCCTTCGGTCAGACTTGGATTCGTTTCAGAAGTCCTTGAAACCATTCAGCCTTGGAAGACAGACCCTGAGGACGGTCGCGGCGGGAATGGTGATGGAACCATCACCCACCCACATGTGGAACCGAGACGAGCACAGAATTCTGGCCCATGAATTGGTGGATGGAGGTGGTATGTGAAACACAAGCCAGGCCGCGCCAGGCTGTTTGTTTCTAGAGAAACAGGTTCTTTACACCGCCACAAAGACGTCGATATTGGGAAAACCTCGTCGGGTGAGGATAGCTCCAAGTCAAGTAGTGTCTCCTATACAATCAATCGTGATATGTAACGGTCTTCTGTCTCGAATGACAATGACTCAGACTCCGAATAGGATTAGATCAAGTGCCATGCAGTGGGCTGGCTGACCATCTCTTTTCACCACGTTTCTACGGGTGAAGACAAACATGTTTAGACCACAAGCACACGATGCTTCAGTGCAAACCTTGGACCTGGTTCTTCTGAATCTCATGTCGTCTCAAAACCACGTGGGACTTCCGAAGTCACGTCTTCGTCCCGAGGGACCGTCGCCCATCGTGCGACTGTGACTGTCTCTCTGGGTGCCGGGACCGATTTCTTCGGCGTGCGCTTCCTCGCGTCAAAGGACGAACGGACGAAAGGAACCGGTTTCGGATTCGCGGTTCTGAAGAGGAAGAACCCCCAAGGGCCCCTGGGCCCCTACAATTCAACAATCCCTTCAACATCACTTCTGGTAGGTTTTTGGGAACTGCCACCTGCTTTGTGGGTTCTTTCTGGGAGGAAAAACATCTGGGAGGCGACTCCACTGCACCAAGTCAGTTCGATTTATTCATCAGTCTTGTTCAACAATAGCAGGAACAAGGATGAACAAGGAATATTCCTTTTCGCTTGAGCAACATGTCTCCCGCACACGGACCCTGGGTCTCACGGACCCTGGGTCTCATGACACACACTCCACGAGCGAACTTGGAGGGAGAAGGTTCCACTCAACAGAGTTTTTGCGAAGAAATTCGATCGCCGCCCCAAACCCCGAAAGGTCGCCAAGACACAACTTGTGCGAATTCCTGTCCACCAGGTCCACCAGTCACCGCAGTGTCACCACACGGTCAGCCGATGGAACCCTTTCGGCCGGCCGAGGTGCTGATTGCCAAAGTCGTTGTAGGTGATCCCAAAGCGCCGTTGATATCCTGGGATGAAGGCGTGAACGTCCAAGATCAGACGATCCGTGTGGTCTTTTTTCCAAAACATCCTCCAGAGCAAAACGGCCAATCCACCAGTTCTGTCGAGAAATGTCTTCTCTCTTTTGGGCGTTTGCATGGAGGCTTTTGGGGCCTCTGACGGCATGCAGGGGTCCATTTCAATTGCGATGATCAAAATGTGATACCAGGTATCTAGCATGATCTAACCATGCATGTACTGTGCACGTCAAAGAAAGTGTTCAACCCAGGTATCCATCTGCCCATTCGAAGTTGTCGATCAACGCCCAGGCCGTGTAACCTGGCGTTCTGCAAAAACCGGACCGAAGGGCCGGTCGCGGGTATAGGGGGGCAACATCTTGATGGAAGGTACATTGACATCAGGAATTTTGAGGTTTTTTGGCCCAAAGCTCATACACCAAAGTTCCGGCCTCAGGAGCTATTCAGAAAACCTGCCAGAGTGGCCTTTTCAGAAAACGTGATGACAGGAACTGAGGGCCCAGTGAAGAGATTGGTTGGTGGAGACGAACGGTGATGGATTCGTCCGAGTGAACGACTGTAATTGTACAAAATTCCCCGAAAGAATGGATGGCATAGGCCAGCAGTTCGGATCACACCAGACCTTTGTTTTGGTTGGGAGGGTAGCTATGAGCATCCTAGGCATCAGGACATCAAATCCAAGGCACAGGAACCCATGACGATGGTAGAACCTTTGAGACACTGGACTGATCTGATTGGATTGGTGACTCGTGGTTGCCACCATGTCGACCATGCAAAATACCATTAAAAAAGCTAAGACTCATATATAGCTAATAAGACATGCGTCAGAGACTCCTTCAAGTGATTCTGTTTTTTCCAATCGAGGATTCCGTCGAGTTCTGGTGCGAGTCCCGCGATTCGCGAGCGAGTCCGGTGCCCCGGGTGCGAAGGGCGCGGAGGGAGGGAGGTCGATGGGAGCGAAGAGCTCGCGGTTTGGGCAGCAAATAGGAACATGTTTTTAAATAAAAAGAAAAAAAGACTGAAGACGTAAAAATAGGTAAAAATCAAATAATAAAACGCAAACAATAAAGCACTATGACTATACATTATATAAATTAACTGATAACATGAAATGAAAAGAACATAAACAAACTCCAGGACAAAGACCTCTCCAAAGGCCATCCCCTTGAGCAATTCAGTCAAAAACAAATGTCTCACCCTCACATCTCGTTTTGAGATCATCACTGTCATCACATCTCAGCGACTGACCCAGGTCATCATGTGCCTAAGACATGGCAGTCACCAAAGACTTCCTTTCAGAAAGCGGGACAGCGGTGCAAAAAGAATCAACACTTCACTCGGGTCATCCCAATCTCGCTCCAAATATAGGCACTCAGTGATCCTGCTGTATCGGGAGGTCATCCACTGGGAGGTTCTCTTGCTCCCTTCCCTCGCATGTTCCTCTCCCGCGGCGCCTATGACTGGGATGCCTTCCATTCTGGCCTCGGCGACTTTCGCCAGGTAGTCTCGGAAGAACCTTCGCAGGACTGGGTTGGGCGTGGGCCATCGGTGGAGGAGTTCGGATTCGGAGCAGGCATGGAGCTTACACCCGGGAAGATGAACACGGAACCTGAAAACCACTGGTTTGTAGAGGAGAACAGTCTTTCAGGGTTCCATTCTCAGGTTCCATGTCAGTTTCCAGGAGTGTCTTTCTCTATCTTTTGGCCAGGCAAAAAGGGGAACTTCCACTGAAAGATCCTTTTCCTGCCACTGCTCAGCCTTCTCGGAATATGCTTCTGCACCATCTCAGCCTTTCAGAGCGCAGGCTGCGCAGGCTGTGTCGTCGTCCGTCCATCCGTCGGCATCGAAGCAGGCATCGCTGGGGGTCGTCATCCGAAAGGACCCCGCGGAGGGGGCGAGGAGCGAACCTCCCGGTCCCCGGTCCAGGCTTCCAAGGCGGAGGTTAGACGGTGTCTCACAGTGCGACGTGGTGTTGTCAGGTTGGCTGTCATCGGTTCTTCAGGTCATCTCTCAAAGAACTGCAGCCTTTAAAGACGCAGTCTCCGATACTCACCGAATCAGGGACACTCAAAGTCTTCAAGGAGCTACAGCCATGAAAGCCATGGTCATCGATTCGGATTAGGGAGTCTGGAAGTTTCACCTCTATCAATGAGCTGCAAGCCTTGAAGGTACAGTGCTCAATGATCCGGATCGCCTTGGGAATCTGGACCCTCCGCAAGGATCGACAGCCCGAGAAGGCCCAGCATTCAATTCGAGCCACGGACTCTGGGATGGTGATGCTGGTCAAAGATTTGCATCCCAAGAAGGCCATGCTTCCAATCTCTGTGACGGACTCTGGAATACTCATACTGGTCAAGGAGCTACAGTTGTTGAAGGTGTATTGATGAATCTGAGTAATGGAGCACGTACTCAGACTAGCACGTACCATAGAGCTGCAATCCTGGAAGGCATGTGCTCCAATGTCCCTCACCGACTCTGGAGCATCGAAAGTGTTCAAAGAGCTGCATCCGTGGAAAGCGTGGCCTCCTATCTGAACCACAGAGTCAGGGACTGTAAAGCTCGTCAATGCGCGGCAATTCTGGAAAGCACCTGACCCTATCGAAGACAAAAATGCAGTGCTGGCAATGCTCAAAGTGCTCAAAGCCCAGCAGTCTTTGAAGGTATCTTCTGGAATGGACACCAAAGCAGCTGAGATGGTCACACTCTTCAAAGAATGGCAGCCATTGAAGACAGACCGCCCCAGACGACTCAATGAAGTAGAGACGATCAATGTCTTTAATGAACTACACTGTTTGAACGCCCTGTCTCCAATAGCTGTGACAGAGTTCGGGACGTTCACGCCTTCCAAGGAAGAGCAACTGTTGAAGGCATCACCCATGATATGAGTCAAGGAGTCACCGAAGCTAGTACGCACTAGTGAGCTACAGCCTTTGAAAGCACCAGGTCCTATAGTGGTCGACTTTGGAATTGTCACACACACCAAGGAGCTACAGCCTTCGAAGGCATCTTGGTTAATTTCCTTGCAGGACTCTGGTATGGTCACAACCAATAGATCTCGGAGATCGCAACCAGATCTTGTTTTGCTCTCACACTCAATGGGATTGATGGTGAAGAGCGCATGCACCACTGCCTCCGCATCGATTCCGAATGAAGCCAGACTTCGATCGTTCTCTAACAACTTTTCGCCACCCAGCACTACATCCACTGTGGCCATTTGGTGAGAAAACGAGTCGGACGCCGAGCTGGCCACTTGCCACCCTCGCAGCCGTTGCTTGAGCTCTCGTAGAGTCGTGTCCTTGTTTAAAGGGTTTTCTGTACTGGACAGGTTGCAGATTCCTGACAAAGAAACGTCCGGTACAGTCCAACTTGAAAGAGTTTACTGAGTTTACTTCTGGGTTTTGCAGATTAACAAGTTGGATTTGTCCGTCCCCATTGCCCGTACCCAAACAAACTCCAATCTGAAAAACTAGATAAAGACAGGCTGATCAGCAGATCCAAGCAGAATCCAAACAATTCAGTCTACTAGGTGGGGCCATGGCCCAAATGCTAAGGGGAACGAGACATCAAATGAGTGTAGATATGGATCGAAACAAGTCACAGCTCAAAACCATCGTAGCTGGTGGATCCTATCGATCCTCATCTACCATTTGTGTTTGAACATCCTTCAGGTCTCCTGCGACACTTCCAAAACGACCACCTTGCCATTCATCAGTCGCACCGGAATCTTCATCGCCATGAGAAGCAGAGAGGAACAGCCAGACTAGGGTTCAGGCTGGGCATGAGCCTAGTTGGCCTCTGCACAGACATCCTCTCAAGGTCTTATCTTGAGGTCCTGGGTATGAAAATAGGGAGATCTCCCAACGACCTGCTGAAAGAAGGGAACTAAACCAAAACCCATTGGTTGCGTGTCCCCCTATCAAAATACACACGCAGGATCACGCAGGTGGGCAAAGGAGGGACCAAGGCCAAAGTCTGTGAACAAAACTATCCATCTTCTATGACTGTTGACTTCCCAAGCACTGCCACCCACCTGCTGCCTGCATCTGTTGCACCCAAAGGAAGAGGCATGCTTTATTGGCAGGGTCAGCCGAGACTACGCTGGCTGATTCAGAAGTGACTCTTTTTCATTTTGTTCAGCCAATGGGGCTGACGTTGTGGAACGTTTCGCCCCGGTGTGTTGGTGTGTTTCGCAACAGGCGGCTACCACGCTGCCATGATCGATTTTGGAGTGTTTGCTCAGGTGCGATGCTAAGCCGCTAAGCAATCCTAGGAACACGAAAAAGATCAACTCAATGATTCCAAAGACTTGTTCCTATCACCTGGCACTTTTTGGGAGTCAGGGACCATCCCAGTCAAATCAACTCAGCAGGATGATGCACTCCAACCGCACATCGACTGAACTCCAGTTGAAGACCGAACAGTCCACCGGCCACCGGCCACCGGACGCCGCAACACCGGTCCAACACCGGTCCGCCGCGGGTTCGACCGTTGGTCTGGTTCGGTAGTCTAAAGTCCTGGGCAAAACAGTGGTTTGGTAAAAAACACATCAATTAACTTAAGAAATTTGTAATGGTTATTGGATGTTATTGGATGTTGTGAATGGTATTGGCGGTTGAAAAGAGTTTCAGGTCTGAAGCCTGGCCACCTTTCAGATCTTTTCGACCACATTTTGAGCAAGTCTGGTGCTCTGATTCATGGCCGACATGTGACATGACAGCACTAAGAAAAACCACAAAACACCAACCCATCGAACAACAGGGTCCAGGGTCTGAAAAACTTCAGCCCAGACATTCTAAGAAACATCGTCTTCACACCCGGACAGGTCTGTCCGGGTCCATGGCTGTTGGTCTACGGCTGCCTGTCTACGGAATATAATAGCAAAGGGTATGGGTTTTGGCCCATTAAATAATCATTAGCAATGGGACTCCAGGCCCATCAGAAATGGGACTCCAGGCCTTTTAACGGAGGATTGGGGGATCGGAGGCCGAGTGGTCACAGGGCTATCCCCTGGATTTACATCTTGTCCTTGTCTGATCAGTGCTACTTCCTCTGGATGGAAGACATCTGGTCAAAACCAGGTTCATCCGGTTCATCCCCCCATCTTCACTGGCGTTCGCTTCGCTTGGCTTCTCCCACCGCCCACCCCTCCACACATCGATTTGTGTTTGCCGCGCTCGTGACGCTGCACGTCGACGTCGACGTCCAGTCCAGCCCAGAAACCCGACTCGATGCCAGTCGTTCACCGTGTACTCCTCAGATCGCCGGTCGGACGCGAGGCGCGAGGACGCAGCGAGGGGACGCAGCGACCCGACCCGACGAGGCGGTTCCCCACCGGCGCCCACGGTCTGCCACTTAGGCAACACCCAATCCTTAGTTGCTTTGGAAAAGAAAAGTAAAACCACTTCACCTTCAAGCAGCTTCACCGTCTAGTGAGCAAGTCCCTTGGTCTGGTGTAAGATGATGACCCCAGGGAATACAGTTTATAGGTTGTGCATGCGTGAAATCCCAAGAATCAGAAAATCAATTATGGCGTAGGAGGTGGGAAATGTGAAGAAACGAAGTGAAACACGTCTCTCCTGCAAAATCCGAATCTCTCTTTTCAGCGTTGGAGGTTCCTTTTCAGGTCCAACTGAGATTGCGTGGTTCCTAAGCTATTGGATTTGGAGGGTCTGTGCAACTCTGATCGAACCTCCTCCACGTCCACCGAAGATTCACCGCGGACCATCTTGCAGGAAACAAGAAGTTCTGGGGAGGGCTTCACCGAATTCTATCCGCGAGGGTGGGATTGCGAGGGGTTTAGGTTGCAGTTCCTCAGACCTGATTATTGATTTATATACGTGCACCCCCCCTCAGTTGTGAACTCCAAATTCCTTGGAGAAAAAATCCGGTTGCTTCTTTCCTGCACCGCATGTCTTTAATTACCGTCACCGCCCGTCTCTATTATGTTTACGCTCTCGAACTCGCCTCCGGGTCGGACCGAGCGGCATACTCGGTGTTTCCCGGGTCGGAGCAGCCGTTCTCGGTGATGAGGATGGAGGGGGGACCATAGCGTTCGTTGACCTCAGAGGTTTGGAACAAAGGCCGCCGAGTGACGCGAAACCGAGTGACGGGACGGACCTCGTGCCCGGCGGAGCAAGGTGGGGGAGAGGAGTGACTTGGTGAGTCATCGATGACAAAAACGTGAGCCGCTGTCCTCACTCCCTGAAATCATCGTGTTTGCGTGGATGGCATTGGCATGCATAGGTCCTCAGTTCGGATGACGAAACTTGAAAACCAAAGAGGTGGTTTTCAGTGTTCACTCCACGTAACCTCCGGGAATACTCCATCAGTGTACTTCCTGGTGAAAACGCTCGGTTCCTACAAGAAATCTGTTCGGTTCACGTCGATGTTTTCGGCTAAGGCTACGTACAGGAGTCGGGTCTCGAAACTAGGCAGATGTAGTTCTTTCAAAAAAGGACTTGATCCACCTCTGAACAACCCATCGGTGTTCTACATCAATTTGAAGAGATTGTGTGATTATTGTTGAAGGATGATTCGTATGAATTTCAAGATGTTGTTGGATGATACAAACTTCTTCATTGTCCCACCTGCTTTGTTGAAGGATGTTTTATGACTGCATGATCAGACCGTGTCAAATTGCCAGTGCTACCTGGAAATGCTCCGGCCCATCATCCGACCAGTCGGCCACCAAGTGAGTTGAATGCTTTGCCACTCCAAGGAGCCCATCGCAGGTGAAGGAGGATCTCCTATCCACCGGTCCCCGATGGGCCGATGGTCGTGTGGTAGGCTGGGATGACGGATGATGGATGTCGGTCATGCGGAGAAAAACAACATCTCAACTGCCCAGGTTGTGCTTTTATTTTCTGACCTGGTAGAGAGTTGATGTTTTTTTGAAGGGAATGACACATTGACCCATGGCTTTGAAAAAGGCAGGAGGGTCACTTGCGCATCGCAAAATGGGTCACTTGCGCATCGGGGGTCACTTGCGCATCGGAGAGTCACTTACGCATCGACCGCATCGACCCAGCGGGTCACTTGCGCATCGATGGGAAATGATGGTGAGATGTGGACATTGTCCATGATTTCAATTTGGCCCACGCGGCCACATCATCACATCTTACCTCTGGGTGGGGTGGGGTGGGGGGGTGGGGGCGTGGGGTGGGTGGGGATCTAATGGAATGATTGGCCCACGCGGACACGTCATCACATCTTACCTCCGGGTGGGTGGGGTGGGGTGGGGTGGGGTGTCAACATGGATCGGCTGACAGACTAGCAAGAGCATGCGTCGCACAAAGTGCACCTTGAGCCACAAATGTTGGCAGTACGCATTGTCTAAGAGTATCATAGAACAGGAACCAAGGTGGAATCCAACAGCATGGAAGAAGAACCTGCAGAGAATCAGGGAACATTCATATACCCCGACCTCTTCGATGTAGGTAGATACATATAGAGAGAGAGAGAGACACATATAGAGAGAGAGAGAGAGACAAATATATATATATATATATAGGGGTGACTGAGCTCAAGAAAAACGACAAGGCCGCAGGTAGTTTCTCTGAGCGCTTCTCAAGGTCTGTCTGTCAACGCGCATTGCGATGCAAGGCGCTAGGCAAGGCACTGTACTGGTCTCGGAGTAGTAGTAGTAGTAGTAGTAGTAGTAGTAGTAGTAGTAGTAGTAGTAGTAGTAGGAGTAGTAGTAGTAGTGGTGGTGGTGGTGGTGGTGGTGGTGGTACTAGACGCGACGCACAAGCGACCCAAAACGCGACGCACAAGCGACCCAAAACGCGCTACACAAGCGACCCCCCGCCCTTTGAAAAAGGTGTCACTATCAGCCAGAAGCAGCCCAGACCTTCCAAACTTCCAGACAAACCATCAAGTGGAAACAGTCAGTCTAATCAAAAGCATTGGCGATCATCGACGTGCAACTCCTGGGCGCCGAGAAAAAACTTGCAACGCGACAGTGACCAAAAAGTACTCAATTACACTCCCTGAAATAGGCACTGGATGACCATGTTCCTCTACAAACAACTGAGATGAGTTTTCCTTTCCATGATTTTTCAAGGAGCACACAGTGTCTTACAGTATACCCGCAGCGAACGTGTCGAGATCTTGATGGGAACGCCGTTGCACTGTGGCCCAAAGTATCTAGCAGCTAGCACTACAGTGCCACGCCAAAGGGGTCAAGAGTCTTCTCTTCACCCCAAAACCAACAACTCCTTCCCTCCAACACTCGAGGCCATCGCTCTTAGGGAGGCCATACATATCATCTCCACATGCCCATCGCTATGAACTCAAAAGAATGAAGATTGTCCCAGATCTCCAGTCCTCCGCTTTTTCCCATTGTCCTCCGGTCCCTCTCGGTGGCTCCGCCCACTGCCGCCCAACATTTCGACCGTTTCACCCCAAACCGCGACGCTCCTGGGGGACCTTGTAGAGCCAGGCGTGGATGAAGGGGAATCCAATCGGCTCGCCATCCCTGGCGCAGCTCGTCTCGGTCGAATTCGGCTCCGGTGCTGGGGGAAGACCTGTTTGGCCCCGGGCTCCGAGGCGGAGGTTGGAAAACGTAGGAAGTCGACTGGTTTTACATGTATCCGAACTCACTTCTATATACCTGGACCATCCTGTCGGGGTGCCCTATCTGGAAGCCCATAAGTAGTGTGGGGTAGTCCCAGGACACCCAGACAGGATGGTCCTGGTATAGATAGCTACTTGGTGGCACATGATCACCGTCACACTCCAGTCACGACACTTTGGGTGATTGATGTGACGCCATGCTCGGTTGACATCGCCTGGAAAAACGATGTCACCCATCTCCTCTCATCGGTGTGTCGGAGCTAAACTGTTTCTGCTCAGAACAGCACAGAATGAACGGAAATTACACCACCGTAGACCCCAAACAGTTTGTGTTTTTCGAAGTCGGAACACTCTGCAACAGTAAACTGTTTGGGGAATGGAAATCGCTGATAATTTGAAACCGTTGCCCAGGATTGCATCCAACACCCATGGATTTCTGCCTCGGGGAGAGTCCTAGACGACATAGACATGACTAGAGTGACTATAGACTAGACCCACATTTGACCTTGGAACCTCACAAGCCATACCCAAAAGCAGGCGCAGAACAAATATATCTTTCAGCATCCCTGTGGCCCCTCAGTTCTTTTAGGTTCTGGCCACTCCACAAGGTCACGGTTGTATTCGGAAACTGGACGGTTGTATTCGGAAACTCGGCGGTTGTATTCGGAAACTCCACGGTTGTATTCGGAAACTCGGCGGTTGTATTCGGAAACTGGAACGGTTGTATTCGGAAACTGGGATTCGGAAACTGCGCGGTTGTATTCGGAAACTGGCATTCGGAAACTGAAGCGGTTGTATTCGGAAACTGGAAGGGTGGTATTCGGAAACTGCACGGTTGTATTTGGAAACTAGTATTCGGAAACTACACGGTTGTATTCGGAAACTGGTATTCGGAAACTGAGACGGTTGTATTCGGAAACTCCACGGTTGTATTCGGAAACTCATATTCGGAACTCGACGGCTGTATTAAACTGCGGGGCCGGAATCTCTCTCCAGTGCGTGTATCTCGATGGCAATGCCAGGAAAACTGCTCTGAACGGATTTTCTCACAAGCGCCCCAACACCCCCCACACCCCACCCGCCCTCCATGGTACGCAACTATCCACATAAGCTTAATGCCCCTGCCCCACCCCCCCCACCCCCCTCCCCCCCAAACCCACCGGAAAGCATTGGTCCGCGCAACCATCTACGAAAGCTTATTGCCCTACCCCTCCCCACCCCACCCGCCCCCCATGGTACGCAACTATCCACATAAGCTTCCCGCCCTCCATGGCACGCACTATCCACATAAGCTTAATGCCCCTGCCCCACCCCCCCCCCCCCCTCCCGCACCCCCCCCCCCCCCCCCCCCAGCACCACACCACCGCCCCCCCAGCCGCCCGCACCCCCAGCCCAACCCCCCCACCCCACCCTGAATGCAAGAGAACGCATCAACTGTCCACGCGTGCGATTGTTCACATTGCCCCCTAGTTCGGGAATAGAAGTTTCTGAGCATGAGGAACAGTAGTTTCTGAATACGACGAAAATAGTTTCTGAATACGACGAAAATAGTTTCTGAATACGACGAAATAGTTTCTGAATACGACGAGATAGTTTCTGAATACGACGAAATAGTTTCTGAATACGACGAAAAGAGTTTCTGAATACGACGAAATAGTTTCTGAATACAAGAGTTTCTGAATACAACGAAATAGTTTCCGAATACAACGAAATAGTTTCTGAAGACTAGTTTCTGAATACAGTGCAGTTTCTGAATCCGACTTTGTTCCACTCCACAAAACTGCCCAGCTTGCCCTTGATGCCCAAGTAGAGCTTTGACTCTTGGGAAGCTTCGGACTAGGTGACTAGCCAAAGCTACTGTGCCCCGTGCTTACACAGTGATGTTGCACTCCCGGAACAAGCGTGCCAAAGACAGGTGATTCATCAATGGCACTGTTCCAGGAAAAAAAACCTGAGGAAAATCCAGAACTCTGCGGTGTGGTGTTGAAACCGCACATCGCGGACCAAGGTGCTTCCAGAAGCTCTGCTTCGTCCAGGTGGAGTGGTTCTTCACCGCTTCCCTGGCACCGACCAGTCCGTCTCGGGAGCCGAGAATGGCCCGGTGCCCGGTGGCTTCGGTGCCGTGGATGGCGACGGTGAAGGACGTCACGAGGACTCGAGAAGCTGAAGGACGTCATATCGGACTAACAGAATTTGTGAGCAGACGTGAATGCCGAAGACCAAGAGGCATAGCTATAAACATCTGACGAAAGGATACCTTTTCAAACAAGCTGATGCGCAGTGCATTTGACCATCGAGCCACTTTTTGGGTGCGCTGTCAAGTTCCAGTGTTGGTGAGTAGAATTCTGACTGGGCACGGTCTATGACGGCTACGATTGGATTCTGACAATCCCAGGCGCATCCGGGTCAAATGGGTTCCGACGGTCCGACCAAATGAGGTATCGAACTTCCGGTCGGATGGCCATGTTTACGGTCGGTCCGGCAAAGATTTCGGTAACAGTACACATGGGTTAGCTAAATGCTGGTACTAGAACAGGTGAGTAGAACACCTGTAAGTGGTTGAAACTAAAGCTTTTCATATCTTTTTTACGACACTCATGAAACTCACATAAACTCAATGCCACGCTTGCTGGAACTCAAAAGAACAGGATGCTGCATGCCTCCAGCATCACCGGACTTCGGTCCGGGCACCGACTGGGCACTCGGACACATAGCGACCGCTGTAGGTGTTGAGGCCGTAGTAGTTGTAGATGGGGTTGGAAGCTGCCGAGAGAGGAGAGGCCCGGGCAAGTTAAGTGATGCTGTTGGATCCCTTTCACCGAGCTGCCAAGTTTGAGACCCCCAAATCATCCGGGGTCCAGGATCCGAAGAGGAATGACCTGTAGAGGAAAATCCCTGGGCAAACATGTGGTATGTAAGAGTTGTCACTACCCCCACTTCACTGATCTTCACTGTAAGCTGAACTAAGTGTCCCCCTTCAAAGGAGAGGCTTGAAAAAGCTGAAGAACGAAGCTGTCACGAAGAAATTCTCGAACACTTCGGTCCTCGGTCGAAGACGACATGACGCTCTAGCAGGGCCGCTCTCCACCCGCGGTTCTGCGATCCGAGGGCGATCGGTATCCGATTTGGCGGGCCGATTCGAGCGGCGATAGATGGCACCTGTTCATCCCTATTTCGAGGGTTCCTTCACCAAAGAGGCCTGGACGGGAAGACCTGCACAGGACGGGAAGACCTCCTCATCGAGGTGATCCGGTGCGGAGATCCAGCGAGGCCAACGGAATTCTGCGAAGAAAGCGACACTTCAACTCCGGAAGATGATGCGATTCTTGGTCGCTTCATATGTCAGTAAGATATACAGTTTTTAAGGCTTTAAGGTTGTTGCCACATTCAAACCACTAGGAGCGAAGCTGTTTTTGAATCTACTGAATCCAAGGGTCAAGAACTTCCTCATACATTGTGGATCCGGCTCCCACCAGCGATCACTTTATACTTCAGAGCACCGGTTATACAAACAAATCAACCACACACACACACTTCGAACTTGGGTTTTCAGTTATACTCCGTTGTCACGATGGGAAGGAAGGTGATGGAACGGCATGGCGCATAAGTCCGCAAAAACCGTATGGTTGAACATTGTTTCCGAGTGGCCTCAGGATCGATCTGTACAGTCGATGCGGTGACGAGCACAGCTGCATGAAAGTGGGTTTAGGGGAAGAAACGTGGAAAGACCATGAAACAAACCGATCAAATTAGACAGCGTGGTCAACAGTTTCGGTAGCAGGTACACGAATGGACGTCTCCATTCGCTTCCCCTCCAGCGACTTAGCTTCGTTGGACAAGGTTCATCGCTGGAGGCCTTGCCCCCCTGCCTGTGATGAATTCACATCAATGGAAAAAGAACGATCTCGGTGGTAGTGGAAAGGTGAAAAGGTGGAAACCCTTAGAACCAGGGTGTGACACACACA